CCCCCACCATTTTTCCATAAAGGAACAGGTGTCGAAGAAAATCCTCCACACAGGCAGATGTGAGAGGGGCCTCTATCCTTTGAAGCTACCATCCAAGTCGTCTCCAAATAAACAAGCTTTTGGTGCAGTCAAGCCTTCCACTTCGCTATGGCATCGCATGCTGGGCCATGCATCATCTCGGGTCATCCAGCAGGTCCTAAGCCGCCATAAGCTTCCTGTTTCCCATAGTCAAAATAATACTAGGGTGTGTGATGCATGTCAGTCAGGCAAGAGTCATCAATTGCCTTACCCTAGATCTACCAGTGTGTCGAGTCATCCTATGGATCTCGTTTTTTCCGATGTATGGGGCCCTGCCCCCAACTCTATTGGTCGCCATAATTATTATGTGAGTTTCATTGATGATCACAGTAAGTTTGTCTGGATATATTTGTTGAAACACAAATCTGAAGTCTATCAGTGTTTTCAAGATTTTCAAAAACTTGTTGAGCGACAATTTGATCGGAAAATTCATGCCATACAAACAGATTGGGGAGGGGAATATCAAGCACTAAACTCCTTTTTCAGGCGCATAGGTGTAGAACATCATGTTTCATGCCCTCATGCGCATCAACAAAATGGGTCGGCCGAACGCAAGCACCGACACATTGTCGAGATGGGTCTCACCCTCCTTGCACACGCCTCTATGCCTCTAAAATTCTGGGATGAAGCCTTTCTCACTGCAGTCTTTCTTATAAATCGCTTGCCGTCTAAAATCATTGATGACAAAACCCCCTTTGAGAAACTCTTTGGCCGTCCACCAGAATACACCTTCCTACGCACCTTTGGCTGCGCTGTATGGCCAAATTTGCGCCCATACAATTCCAAGAAACTTGAATTCAGATCCAAGCAATGTGTGTTTCTAGGATATAGCAATATGCACAAAGGTTTCAAATGCTTAGACCCAAAAGAAGGGAGAGTTTACATATCCCAGGATGTTGTCTTCGATGAAGAAGTTTTTCCTTTCTCCTCTCTCCATCCCAACACAGGAGCACAGCTTCGAGCCGAGCTTGCTCTCCTTCCCGATATCCTTAAGAACCCTTCCTCGGTTTTTGAGAATGCAAAAATTGGTGACCAGCATTTGCTTTCTCCTGTCTTTACTAACCGGCCATCGAGCCATGCACCGTATGTTGATGGTACAGGAACAAACCATGGCAAAAACACTGCAGGGACAAGAAAAACTGCTGCTGTTGGCAGGCATTATTGGCTGTGTCACCCATCTGGCGACAGCGCAGCGGCCGAGGCGGATCCGTCCGGTACGACTGCGGCAGCATCAGGCAGTCAGGCGCGATCACCTTCGGCATTGGAACCTGGGGCCTCACCGATCCTATCCCAGGCCGGATCATCTGTGGCTGAGTCTGCGGCCACACCGCCTGGATCGGTCTCTTCGACACCGCAAACTGATCCCAGCGAGGGGGCGCTGGATCACGCACGGGATTCGACGGTGATCCTCCCAGGTGGATCTTCTGTAAACGAGCTCTCTGCAACCCTGTCATCCACGGGAGCCGGTGCTTCTACACCTACTTCTGATGCTCCAGCTGCTGCCGCCGATCCTCAAAGACCGGTTACTCGGCTTCAACGTGGGATCGTAAAGCCTAAGGAGTACATGGATGGTACAGTACGCTGGTGCATGAACGCACTGATCAAAACTGAAGAGCCGAGCTCGTTGGAAGAAGCACTCTGAGATCAAAAATGGACATCTGCCATGGAAAACGAACACCAAGCCTTGCTGAGAAACAAGACGTGGCATCTTGTTCCTCGGCCCAAGGGGAGAAACGTCATTGGATGCAAATGGGTTTATAAAGTGAAGCACAAAGCTGATGGCACTGTGGATCGATACAAAGCTCGGTTGGTTGCTAAGGGTTTTAAGCAATGTTATGGCATTGACTATGAAGACACTTTCAGTCCTGTTGTGAAAGCTGCCACTATACGGCTGATTTTATCTATTGCAGTATCAAGAGACTGGTCACTTCGTCAACTTGATGTCCAAAATGCTTTTCTCCATGGGTATCTAGAAGAAGAAGTATATATGCACCAACCACCTGGCTATGAAGACAAGACTCATCCAAATTATGTTTGCAAGTTGGACAAAGCTCTCTACGGGCTAAAGCAAGCACAAGGGCTTGGTATGCAAGATTGTGCAAGAGGCTGCAAGAGTTGGGATTTGTTCCATCCAAAGCTGACACGTCATTGTTCTACTATAGCCGGGGTGAGTATACTATTTATATACTAGTATATGTTGATGATATTATTGTTGCTAGCTCCTCTCCCAAAGCTACAGCAGCATTGCTTAAGGATCTGCAGAAGGATTTTGCATTGAAGGACTTGGGTGATTTACATTACTTCCTTGGGATAGAGGTGAGGAGGAACAACGATGGGCTTGTGCTTTCACAGGGCAGGTATGCTGCGGATATTTTGTCCAGGACCGGCATGGACAAGGCCAAAAGTGTTGATACGCCTCTTGCTGTTTCTGAAAAATTGAGATTGACAGATGGTGCTACACTTGGGGCAGAGGATGCTACACACTATAGAAGTGTGGTTGGGGCGCTGCAGTACTTAACACTAACAAGACCGGATATATCCTTTTCGGTGAACAAGGTGTGTCAGTACTTACATGCTCCAACTACAACTCACTGGAGCGCCGTCAAGAGGATCCTGAGGTATGTTAGTGGGACAAGGAATTTTGGACTCAAGATCAAGAGATCACAGTCAATGATTATAAGTGCCTTTTTAGATGCTGATTGGGCTGGTTGCCTAGATGATAGGCGGTCTACAGGAGGCTTTGCTGTCTTTCTTGGCAGTAACCTTGTGTCTTGGACAGCCAGGAAACAGGCCACCGTATCAAGGTCTAGCACGGAAGCAGAATACAAAGCCTTGGCCAATGCTACAGCAGAAATGATGTGGGTTCAGAAACTTTTGACCGAACTCAAGGTAGCACATCCATCGGCTGCTCGGTTGTGGTGTGATAATCTAGGGGCAAAGTACTTGTCAGCTAATCCCGTGTTTCATGCCAGAACCAAACACATAGAGATAGACTTCCACTTTGTCAGAGAATGAGTGGCACAGAAACTCTTGGACATATGGTTCATCAACTCCGGAGATCAGTTGGCAGATGGGTTCACTAAGGCCATCACTGCTGCGAAGCTTAGACAGTTTAGGATCAATCTCAACCTTGTAAGTGGCTGAGATTGAGGGGGAGTGTTAGATGATAAGCATATCTGTTAGTCTAGGTTCATTGTATCTTAGACTCATGCATGCGTGTATTGTAGATGGGAGGTGATCCTTGATTGTAGGACTCTCCTTGTTTTCTTGTTGTAACCATATATGTGCATATATAACACGCAACCGTGGACCTGAGAAGGTACCACGTTCCACCAATTCTCACAGTATCTTCGCAATAAAACTATGAAGATTAACCGCTGATGCTGTGGTACCAAGCTATACAATCAGATGTAGCCCAAGCTTTCTGCTTCCCAGGTCCTGTACCACTTGCATCAGCAAAGCACAGATACCATTTGATTAGCCACAGCTTAAGGAGAATATATGTGCTGTACAGTTCTGTCCAGCATCAGTGGGAAAAACTACATGATTGGGCATGGCTAGGTAGGAATATTTTAGTTAGAAGAGGTGTCCACTTCCCATTGGAAAGTTATGTGTATGGCCTGTGTTGGTTTCAGGCCCATGCCTCTGCCAATGCCCTCCCCAAAGCAAGCACAAACACGCTCTGAACCTTTAACAGAGACCTGCACTGGACAGCAACTTCTCCGTTCTCACCATAGCCAACTCCATGACTCCTTCCCTTCTCCATACAGAAATTTAACATTTATGAGCACTGCTCCTGTAAATATCTCATCCGTCATCCATGTAGAATGATTTCTCATAATAGTATAGTTCTAATAATGGAAGCTCTGACGTTTAAAAGATCTAGTGCGGTTCATTTTCGCGAAAGCTCAAGTGTTTATCTCTGAGATAAACGCCTGAAAAGGGCTACAACAGTTGAATAACACTAACAGGTGAAGAGGCTCGCCTATGTAAATGGCAACAGATCGATCACGATCAGAATCACAGGCCTCACATTTCTGTCCAGCTGTCTGGATCAAAATTCTGAATGGACATGAAAAAAAGGAAGATGCTCCTTTATCTTACCAGAGATGGCATGTGGGTCGTATTTCTCTTCATATCAGATCTACACTGTCATAAAACTTTTACAGCCATGCACATCTAAGTGTTCAGATCTATCATAGTGGAACAATATTAACCTAGCTTCATGGCAAAAAGTACTTCTAAATCGTTGCAGTTTTTTTTTCTTTTCTAGTAACCATTTTTTTTTTGACAAATAATTGTGAAACCTGTGCACACTAGGCTGAAGGCCATGTCCATATCCAAAGTAAAAGTAAACAGGATCAAAGTAGTAACAAGGATAAATGGATAATGTGGCGCCCTCTTTTTTCAACATTTTACATCATATCTCTCAACAAGTCATCTCTTCATCAGTGAGAGCACATGATTAAATATGTTTCTCATCAATTCATTTCTTCATTAGTGAGAGAGAGCACATGATTAATCAAGATATTGTTTAAATATATTTATGGGCAAAATTGGCCTTCCCAAGGGTAAACACCAGTCTTCCATGATAACTGGCACCCACCCAGGGCCCTTATAAATAACCAGCCCATCCAGTTGCCTAGAAATTTACCAAGGCAACACTAAACTCCAACAAGGTGGAGCACAACACAACAACAACACACTAGCTCAATAGTGTGATGTAGTTCAATAGGCTTGTTGTATCACAAGAGCAGAGGTAGAGAGACAGAGGGAGAGAAAAGAAACATTGGACTCCAGCAGGGAGCAGAGCACAGGCAGAGCAGAAGGGAGTGAGTGGTGTACGTGGTGTGCCAGACTGCCAGTGCAAGCTGAGGTGAAGGATGGATGTGGAGTCGAGGCAAGGTTCCAAAGGGGACGCCATGGCTGCTGCTGCTGCTGTCTCTGTTGACTGGAGGGGAAGACCCTGCGACCCCCTGAAGCACGGCGGCATGAAAGCCGCGGTCTTCGTCCTAGGTTCGTGCGAGCTAGACCCCTCCCTTAGCTTCTCCTGTCATGGTTCAGAGTTATGGTTGAACAAGTGCTGGTTTTTCATTCATCTTTGCAGCTCGCTGTGTTTGTTCTTCATAATTTGGTCGATGAATTTGCATGCATGCATGTTGGCAGGGATCCAGGCGTTTGAAATGATGGCGATTGCGGCGGTGGGGAACAACCTGATCACTTACGTGTTCGGCGAGATGCACTTCCCGCTGTCGGAGGCGGCCAACATCGTGACCAACTTCATCGGCACCGTCTTCCTCCTCTCCCTCCTCGGCGGCTTCCTCTCCGACTCCTACCTCGGCAGCTTCTGTACCATGGTCATCTTTGGATTCGTCGAGCTCTCGGTAATACTTAATACTCAATTCATAATTAATCTCATAATCATCACTTATTTGGATGCTTCAATCATCATCATCACATAAAGAAGCTACTAGCTAATTAAGAAAACAATGATGCCATGCCATGCCACCTGGGGCCTCATTTGAAAACAGTTGATTGCATTCTTGTTTGTTTCTGTGCAAGAGGGCCTGCCTGATCATGATGAACAGGATCATGGCGTTTAATTTAATTAACCACTTTCTGCAGGTTACTGTTCTTTAATGTTTTTTTTCTATAAGTAAACTAGTACGACAAAAAGAAACAGAAATTAATTAAACGTTCAACAAATAAAGAAAGGTTGGTACTTTAATTAACGGCCTGAAATAAGCTGCGTTCGGCTGCTTCTCCCTCACAAGGCACTGTAGGCCGTACCAGCAACAGCCAGCTGCCGCTGGCTTTAAACGAAAAGAGATACTGTACAAACAGTTTTGTCAATGAGAAGCAAGAAAACAGTGCTGTCAACTGTTAAATAAAGGCACTGAAAGGACAGGAACAAATCATCACCCACAATGGCGGCCGTCTAGTGCGCCTTGAGTGCGCGCCCCGAACGCCAATCCACTTTTGCTCAGCCTATCTTTAACGACAACACCACCCAAAATATAATACTTATTTGTTCTTTGGGTAGCGCTACAATCAAAGGTTTAATATATATTTAGCATCTTCTTTAACAATAAAACTCAAAAGAGAATCATTTCTACAAATAGGTTTTCAGGAAAGAGAATGCCCATATTTAAGTTGTGCCTCTCAGGCAACCTAAAATAAATCCCCCATATAGATACTATGTTGAAGGCTAATTTTAGATGTCTTACTATCTATTTTGGGTTTGAGGGCCCATATAAATTCTTTGTTGGAGACAGTCTAACTGCCTCATCTTTGCATTAGCCGCTGGTTCAGTGCATCACAAGAATGGCAACACCAAATATAATGCTGCTGCTGCAGTACATGCACCAACTAAGTTAATCTCGAATAATGACAATTAGTAATAATCCATATCATTATTAATTAATTAATATATATATATATATGGAAGAGTATATTCAGTAGCCGGCTACAAAATAAGTTATTCTATAGCCATCTCCATTTACGATAATTTTATATACTAATTTATAATAATGTCAATATATATTTACGACAGTTGGGTTACTATAACACAAGACGATATTTATCATAACGTTATAGTAAACCACTTAATAAGGAGTTACTATAATCTCATAAATTAACATAGCAATTATTGTAACTCAAAGTGGCTACAGAACAAGTTATTCTATAACCAGCTCTAGAGTATAACCAGCTGTAAAATAGTATATATATATATATATATATATATATATATATATATATATAGAGAGAGAGAGACACACACACACTTATATATATGGAACTGGCAGGGTTTCATCCTGCTGGCGATTCAGGCGCACCTGCCGCAGCTCCGCCCGCCGCCATGCGACATGATGGCGGCGGGGCAGCAGGCGTGCGAGCAGGCGAGCGGCCTGAAGGCCGGCATCTTCTTCGCGGCGCTCTACCTGGTGGCGCTGGGCAGCGGGTGCCTCAAGCCCAACATCATCGCGCACGGCGCCGACCAGTTCCGCCGGGGCGGCGGCGGCGACGCCCGCCGCCTGTCGAGCTACTTCAACGCCGCCTACTTCAGCTTCTGCGTGGGCGAGCTGGTGGCGCTCACCGTGCTCGTCTGGGTGCAGACCCGCTCCGGGATGGACGTCGGCTTCGGGGTCTCCGCTGCCGCCATGGCCATCGGCCTGCTCAGCCTCGTCGCCGGTGTCGCCTTCTACCGCAACAAGCCGCCACAGGGCAGCATCTTCACTCCCATAGCTAAGGTACGTAGTATACGCCATGCGCAGCAACGTAGTATATTATATTAATGTTCCTATATACTATTGTGTTGCACTCTACGTACGTACGGAGACGCTATATATCTATTTTGTACGACGATTCACTCTTGAGAGTACTATACTAGCATAGGTATAGCACTGGTTTTATTTGCTTTGTGATTCCCTCATTTTTAAATAATATTATGAATATACTCATATTTTAGGGCAAAATAAAAAATGGTACTTACTCCGTTCCAAATTATAAGTCGCTTTGACTTTTTTGATTCATCCATTTTGTTATATATATAGACATAGTATTTTATCTAGATACATAACAAAATTGATGTACTAAAAAGTTAAAACGACTTTGTGAAGCGGTAGGAGGGAGTACGTAGGTACTAGGAGGACATCCACGTAGGAGGAATATGTGAAGCTGAAACATATTTATTTTGACTAGATATATAAAGAAAAACCAATAACAAAACACACACTACTTTGTTTTCCCTCTTCCAAATTAAAGCTGTACAGATTCCTTTTTCCTATTTTTTGTTGTTTACAAGGTTTACATTATTGACATTTGAATAAGAATATTAGAAATATGGTAAAACTACTGGCGATAGAAAACAATTATGACATTTTTTTAAAAAAAAACTTAGTTTGCAAAGATAATCATGTTGAAAATCTTCAAAAAAATATATAACATCATAATACAACACAAAATATAGAAATGAGATGATATAACTAGGGGTGAAAATGATATGGATATTTTCCGACCGTATTCGAGACCGAATCCGTTTAGAGTGGTTCAGATCTGTCCGTATTTGAGTCCGAATATTCAACATCCGATATCGTATCCATATCCGAATACTCAAATCCGTATCCAATTATGACATTTATGATATCGACATCCAGTCGTATCCTATCCGGCATGGTTGACAATATCCGTATTTGAATCCAAATCCGGACAGAAATATGAAAACAAATGTAATATCAGTGATATTCGTTCTAATCCGATCCGTTTTCATCCCTAGATATAACACATTCACGGTGCGCATGGCCATGAGACAATTAAGACTTAGAGTAGGAGCCGAGAGCGCGGTAGCTAGGATGACGAGGAGGTAAAAATGGAACAGATTTTAGGATTAGGGTTATCGGAGGTATTTACCCACCTAGTTTTGGACTTGTGCAAACCAGTTGGGTGAAATTTTAGCATGCTGGATCCAACAAAAAAAATTGCCCGATAAGCTCTTTCCATAGCCCATCACCAATAAAATTGATTTTTTTTTTGTCCATCGGTTTTTCTGTCGGTGATAAATATTTGTTTTCGTTGTGCTTGCCTATGGGGGCATATAACATGTAGCTCTCCCATGACCCATCACGCTGCTTTACTCCAAAAAATATATTCATATACTATAAGCTTAGGCCCTGTTCACCTGAACTACTTCTACAAAGATCTTTGAATGTAGTTTTTTAATAAATTTATTTGAAAATACAAATGTTGCATATATTTTTTATAAATCGAATCAAACTTGTGGCATGAAAATCAAAAGCGACAGATAATTTGTGACGGAGCGAAGTAGCTGGAGGCCCATTCTGTTACGCTCGCATTGTATCAATCAAATCAGTCATGCCTGTATAGTGGGGGCGTGTAACATGTGTACGCACCACCATGCATACAATAACAAGAATGAACGAAGGCATGACCAATTAGACATGCATGCATGCATGTTTTCTTCTTTATTAGAAGAAACTAAAATTACATAGTTTACAACAGTAATTCATTAATGATTTGCATGTTGTACGTAACCTCATTTTATTTGAGCTCATCATGCGTCATGGCCCTGGCCTGGGACTTTCTCTGTTTAGGTATTTGTCGCCGCTGTGAGCAAGAGGAAGCAGGTGTGCCCGTCGACGACGGCCTCCGTGCAGGCCATCGCAGGTGTTACTGTCCATGAGATGTCCGTTAACACCACAGACATCTGCCACATCAACAAGTTCAGGTGCCAAATATATAACAGAACTACCAGTAGAGAATATTCGAGGTTTTCCTGTGGAGTTTTTTTGCTAATAATAATCAAGTGTCTGAAATCTTGGATTATTGCAAATCAAGGTTCTTGGACAAGGCATGCGTGAAGGCGCCGGACGGCTCCGGCAAGGAGAGCCCGTGGCGTCTGTGCACGCCGGCGGAGGTGGAGCAGGTGAAGCTGCTGCTGTGCGTGGTGCCCATCTTCGCGTGCACCATCGTGTTCAACACCATCCTGGCGCAGCTGCAGACTTTCTCCGTGCAGCAGGGCAGCGCCATGGACACCCGCCTCGCCGCCTCCGGCTTCCACGTCCCGCCGGCGTCGCTGCAGGCGATCCCCTACGTCATGCTCGTCGCGCTCGTCCCGGCCTACGAGGCCGCCTTCGTGCCCGCCATGCGCCGCCTCACGGGCGTCGCCACGGGGATCACCCCGCTCCAGCGCATCGGCGTCGGCCTCTTCGCCGTCACCTTCTCCATGGTCGCCGCCGCGCTCGTCGAGGCCCGGCGCCGCCACGCCGCGGCCGCGGACGGCGGGGGGCGGCTCCTCTCCATATTCTGGATCGCGCCGCAGTTCCTGGTGTTCGGGCTCTCGGAGATGTTCACCGCCGTGGGGCTCATCGAGTTCTTCTACAAGCAGTCGCTCGCCGGCATGCAGGCCTTCCTCACCTCCATGACCTACTGCTCCTACTCCTTCGGATTCTACTTCAGCTCCGTGCTCGTGTCGCTCGTCAACAGGATCACCAGCAGCTCCACCTCCACAGCAGCAGGCAATGGAGGCTGGCTTGCCAACAACGACCTCAACAAGGACAGGCTCGATCTCTTCTACTGGCTCCTTGCGGCGCTCAGCATCCTTAACTTCTTCAACTACCTCTTCTGGGCAAGGTGGTATTCCAAGAGCGTAGAGACGGTGTAGGTCGTCGGAGTCGGAAGCGGCGGGCGGTGAGCAGCAGGATCACGAGAAGGACACCCCTGAGTGCTGAGATTGATATGCATGGGTCCATGGAAAGAAGGCCCAGCTGAAATATCTCAGCCAATTAATCAATTAACCTAGCGTACGTTATGTGTAGTTAACCTTTTCTATTTATTTTTCTTTTCTGCTTTCATGGTATTAGAAGATATATGTGTGTGTGTGAGAGTTAGATTAATCTCATAAGCTGATAGCTGATCAAAAGTTAACCTTGGCGGGGCCAAGTTAATGTTAAGGCTAGTAGTTATGTAAATTCAACTCCTGCAAGGATGCATGAGTAGAAGTGGTTTGGGTAGCTAAACCTAGTCCCCTTGCACGGGTTGAGCTAATATGTAGCTGTGTGTAAATGCAAATGATCTATATATTTAGTATTTGGACAACAAATGGAGTCTGCTTCCACTCTGCACCTTAATTTTCAAGACCTAGAAATCACCACATTGTCAAAGAAAATAATATCAAACTGCCCATATGTGTGTGAATAAGTTATGCAATATTGTCATTACTTAAAAGGTTAACCCAAAATACAATTATACCAATTTCACTATTACCCACCCATGCCATTTATTTCAAATACATGAACGACATACCACACACTACTTAATAGCAATGTATTTATGTTGAAAATTGAAAATTCAGATCCTATAAATAAAATATAATAAACATAGAAACATACATACTTACCGTCGCATTGGTGAAAACTAGGTCTTCATGTGAATCAAGCAAAGATGACTATACTTTCATTTTTATTACCTCACGACCAGGCATGATAGTTGTAACTTTAAATATGCATGAAGCAATAAACAGTAGGGTGACGTTGCGTAACGCCAACTAACACCATGGGACATCGAGTCAATAGGGTGGACGCCACGGCGAGGGATGCCAGGTCACCGAGTCTGTACACTGTACTGAGAGAGATCTACAATCGAGAGAGTCTGTACCTTTGTCTGTGTATCCTGTCATCTGTGGCAAAGGGCCTGACCTTGTTCAAGTTAATCCTGCAGCAATAAATCAATCATCCCTCTGATATTGTTGTTGCAAGATCTTGTGTTTGAATCGTTCGGGTTTTTCCCTTCCCGGTCTCCCTCTCTTCTGCTTTTGATGGATTTTGATTTCCTGCGGGTTTGTGGGTAATTTGAGTGGATGGGTTCATGCTAGGACCTCTGAGGAACATCTTTACTAAATGGTTTGGGCAGATTCCTCACGAGCACTTGGATCCATCACTTTGAGAAAAAATTAGAAAACCCCGACCCTTTTGATGGATTTTTTTTATCTGTGTTGATCCCTTGACTTTCGGGGGATGATCTTTATGGCATAGCTTCTAAGCACCCCAAGAAACCCCTCTACAAAATTTTAGAATTTTCAGAGCTCGTTTTAATTTATTTCAAATTTTTCTTAGAGAGAATTCTACTAAAATCTGCGTAAACTGACGAAGTCTGGTTTAGAAAACGGGAACAGGCCAGTTTTTTTAGTTGCTCCGATTGATCTGATTTTTGGTGGAGATCTTCTCCTTAGATTTTTAAGCTCCCGTATCAAGTTTCAAGTCCATTCAAATCGTCTTCTAAATTTTCTCCTCCGTGTGCTGAAAAACTGGCTCAGGCCGATTTTGCAAATCGGCTCAGGCCGGTTTTTGCTGTTGGTTTCTAAGGTTGCATGTTTTGATCTCCATTTGCTTCTGTGGTTGTTCCATATATTGTGTCCTCGGGTCTCTCTTGAGTGCAGCTAGCCACCAGTTGGCGTGTGTACTCTCCTCGGAGTTTTAGCTGTTTTGAGCACTTGGTTGGATGGTGTTGGGAGAGCGACTGAAATTGAAAGAAAATTGGATTATAGGCTCCCATTTACTGCCCCTCTAGTCGTCTTGCTCGGTCCTTCATTTTATTTGCAGTTCAGAACAATTTGCAATGCAACTGTATTGCTTTCGATGAAAAAAGAACATTTTAAATCCAAAAGGATGTAGAAGGGTTTCATATGAAATCTACATGTGTACTGACAATAGGAATAATATAATATGCACCAGATGTTATGCAGAAACATGAAGTTTAGTAAGTATGATTTACATGCAAATCTAAGGGCTTGATTGTTTAAGATGAAAGGTTGGCTTGTGAGGAAATAAAGTAAAAGCTGAAAAAAACATGTTTTGAGGAGGCTTTCTGGCTTTTGGTGCGCTGATAAGCTAAAATCTATTACAAAAGTCAATAACAAAAAACCAACCATCAGAAGCCAAAAGCCAGAAAGCCAGCTTTTGAGCGAAAAGCTGAAAAGATACAGCTCAAACAAATAGACCCTAAGATAATGGAAAGACGAAATTGGTGACACAAGTACAATTAACCTCTAGACCTGAAATTCCTGTTCTACTAGAAGTGACAAGTAAAAAGAAAAGTGTGAGAGAACAGAATATTACTACAAATTTAGGCATAAATCAAACAGCCCCTAAAAGGCAAGCAAATCTCATCGAAGAATAAAAAATTTCCACATCTAGAATATCACAATTTTGAGTTCGATTCCATTGGCATTAAAAGTGACCTCCATTAGATATGTGACTGCAGGTATAATATTATTAGAACAAGGAGAGCTTAGAACATTTTTTTTTTTAATTTCTAAAAGACAGGCCGATCTTCGTGCTTTCTGGATATGGAGCTCGAAATTAAAGCTGCCATAGCTTCAAGTTGTACTCTGGATGCCAAACCTGTCTTTCAAGACCTATAGCTCCAACAAAGTGTGCTTCAAAGAAAGCAAGCGTGGTGAGTGATAACATCAGTCGCCTTCTTGTCCCCCGGCTAGGGTATCTTTTGCTGTATCATGCTACTGAACAGGGTCACAGTTAGTTAAAAAGCCACCGGACAAGGAACAACGACCAAAGCTATAGTTGCCACAGGCTTCCATCCAGATGATTAAAGCCCCATTTGGCAAGGCTCATCAAAACGGCTTCACCGGTGAAGCCAAAGCCCATGAAGCCAGAAAAACTGGCTTTTCCCGGCTTCTAGTTCATTTTAACCCCGGCTTACAAAACGGTTTCACGCTACAGTGCCTCGATTTGCGCAAAATAGATGAAGCCGAAGCCGGCATAAGCCGTGCCAAAGAAGCCCTAAGTTGAAGTGTATGTTCTTGGATACTAGCTAGCATATAACCTCTTGAATAGTAAAGGCAAGGAAATTCAATATCCCAATGTATGATGTATCTTTTTCTGCAGTCATCCATTGCAATGGTTGTGTATGTGCTCTTCATGTTGCATTGTCTATGCAGGTTATAGTCACTCATTGGGTATTCTAAGTGTGATAACAGAGAGGCGGTGGAATAATCAAAATTAGCAAATTAACTGCTCACAAGCATATCAACCGAATACCTTGTGCGCTTGATTCATAACAGCACCTAAACTTGAATCCATCAAACCACAGGCTGCCCCATCTTCCAACAACAACTTGCGGGAAAAACCATGGACGACGGTGAGACAATTCCACTATGACATGAAGTAAATACAATAAGTGGGGGCCAACAAGTGAGGGGAGGCTCTAAATCCCCCACAAATATCTCTCTTTTAGTGGTGGATTTGGTGGATCAAAACCCTCTCTCTCATTCTCAATCTCCCTAACCCTGGCTCTCTCTATTTCTCTCAAGCAAGAAGAAGCAACTGAACTCTCCGATATGTGAAAGGGAGGCACGCAGTTCCCTTTTGGGCTATGTTGTGCTATTTGGTGAAGAGCCCTCCAAGTTGTGAGATATTACAAATAAGCCCAAATGGATATAATTGGAGTTGGTCATCACACTAAGAAATATAGTGGAGATATTGACGCAGTATTTTCAAATAACACAGTACAGGAATGATTTGTGCTAATGGTCAAAAATGGTTTTTAGGGCCAGTTCAAAAAACCGCCTATAACACCCCGGTCCATTAGTAGCCGGTAGTAGTTATAAAGTTGGCTCAAGTGGCTTGTGTGGTTGTGGTTGGTGGGTTTAGTACCACCTTAAAAATCTAGGAGTGTGAGGGCCAGCTTATAAGCCTTGTCATTTCAAACGTGACATCTCCGGGTTAACCCTTTTACACGAAGCGATGACGAAAGTGTAAGAGGGGTGCTACACGTATGCAGGCCCGTTCCACGTGCGGAGCTAGGCCATATAAGTAGATTTTGGACGCGGGGTGTCACACCGCCACTACGCTATTGGTTGTAAAATATAGGCTGTTTGTAGCATTGGACATGACATCTAACCGATAAGCAGATTTTGGACGAGAGATGTTACACCGCCACTACGCTATTGGTTGTAAAGATAGGCTGTTTGTAGCGTCGGACATCTAACCGAGGATGGAGCTATCCTTGGACGGTAGTAGCACTGCAACCACTACTAAAAACACATTTTCAGGGGTTGTTGGCTTCAACGAACATCCCCTAAAAATCTATTTACAAGTGCGGTTCTACTCAAACTAAAAATCATTTTTAACCTTTTGAAGTTCCCGCCATATTTGAAATTGTGTTTCCACCATACAACTAAATAGACAACTCATACCACCTAAAGACAAGGGTCATCTGTTTGACTGGTTGCAAGTGATTTAATGCTTGCATGTAGCCATGATCAATCATGAATATCATTTTAATATATCATTGCAGTGTTGGAATAAATGGGCTTGGCCCAATAGAAATTCTAAAATTCCCATGAAGAGACCTCAAAGGCATATTCATGTGAGGAAGAGAGGGGGAGTGGGAACCTTTTGTCCCACCTTGCTTGGAAAAGTGGAGGTAGCCATATTTAAATATGGAAGTCATCTCCACTTCCTCAACTCTAGTGTGAGGAGGACAAAGGCTGCCAACACGCGCATGCTTGCTCGCCTCGCCAGGCTGGGCAGGCCGGGGTGAAGGGAGTGGGCGCCTGCGTGAATGGTTTGCAGTTTTTAGTTTTGGTTTCTTGGCCTTCAAATTTGCGGATAAGAGTCCTAAACTGTTTAGACAGTGATCATG